CATCGTGAGTTGTAGCGTGGAGAGTCTCAAGAGTACGTGGAGTTCCGAGAACGACCAAGCAGAGTTGGGATCTGTATTTTGTTGCTTTGCAGTGAAGCTGTTTGCACCGTTATAGTTTGATAACCTGAAAGCAGTGTCGCTGATCGTGTCAGCGTGTTTATAACAGTTCGACGACTGTAAACGTGATTTTGGAGAGATTTTGATTCATACTGGCCTATAAAGTGTGTTTCAATACTTCATGAAGTGTCGTCGTTATTCACTCCAAATCCGCACGAACCCCGTACGAACGTGAAGGAAGAAAATAACGTAACAACCGGTATCAGAAAAGAAAAACGTAACAGAAGGATGATCTTAACATCAGTATTCGGCGTAATCTAACGCCAAAGAAATTTACTCGACATTGCTTTATTTTAGAAGATATGCATCTGGACATAATGGTGCTTTATGCTCCATCATTATCGCATTACACCGCTCTAAGGTTTATATGTCCTTCAACTATTAAATAAAATTTTCCCAAACAGATGCAGGGCTATCAAAATAAATACACTTTAATCCTCTTGATGTCTTGCAGATTTACCTTAAGTATGACGTATGTATGGCATAAAGGTTTGATCTTAAAACTATGCAGAAAAGAAAAATATATCCTTTAAATACCATTACTGAAGAAGTGTTGCAGAAAACATTTAGAAAATGATTATCAATTAAATGCCCCTTCAGTAAATGAAACTAGTGTTTAATGTAGGTTGATGTTTCTGAAAAATTATTTCTAATTACATTAGTTTTTACTTTATGAATTTCTGTAATCTTGAAAAGATGTCCATTTTTATTTTTATAAATTTATAAATAACTTCCTTCAATACACGATTCTTATCAAATTTTTAAATGCGTTTCCAATTTATTTTATAAATGGTAATATTTGCTCCGAAAATTAGTTACTCGAAATTCATTTGCGTCTCAACACTTGATAATGTTCTTACACCTACTATACTATGTGTAACAGATGAAACGTGTTTTCACGTGTTTCCATCTAAAAATCTACTTATATAGTACACAGGTACTGTTTCATTAATGAACTTATTTTGCTGTTTATTGAAAAACTGCAATTCTACAATTAATTCATACGAATTTGTTTTTCTGATTCTTGATCAAGGCATTTGTCAGAATTCCAAAGTGCCTGTAAATGACTATTGACAACAAATAATAACTGAAAATGCCTACTTTTAGCGAAGCAATGTATCTTAAAAATCGGTCATAAGCCACTGAAATAAGTAAATTACACAAAATTTTAGAAACAGGTGCTCTGTTCTATGTAGAGTGGCTATATCGTGTCTAAAGTTATATGACTACAGAACAGTTGATAGAGGTTTATATGATATGCTGAACATACAAAAGTGGAAAAAACGTACATATCGGAGGGATGAATTAAATAATTCACACAATATAGAACTTTTCACGCCGTGACATATCGGAAGAATTGAGACATTAGAATGGCCGGCTTGCTCTTTTAGCTTCATATCAACCGACACCAGATTTCTTTGAGGAATAAAGTTTACCTTCATGATACTGCAAAAATCAATTTTAAGCGATCGCTATAAAACCAACAATATTCCAACTGAGCTGCGCGTCAAAGCATGCAAATCTGTCGATTGTAGACTCCAAGCATAAATCAATTTTGAAGGCAAAATTGCTGGTTTTTAACTCTGAAAACATGTAAAACGATGTTAAGCAAGTATTTCGGAACTCTAAATTATGGTTTTAATTGTTAAGAATTATATCCTTTTACTCTGCTATTGTCCCCCTTATCTCTAAATTTTTGATTTGGTTATTTTCCCTTTCAGTTTTAAAAAGAATAATTGCTGAAATCAAATATCTTTAAATTATACCATTTCATAATTAATCCTTTTCCCACGATTCTTACAAACACGATTCTTACTGCTGACACACATGAATATACCACGCTTTAATCAATTATAATATTCAAACATCCGAAATGTAAACTAAATAACTAATCGAAGCGAAGTAAAAACGTACCTGAATCAATCAACTGCAATTTATATGATCATTCTGAACAATAAGAAATATCCATACTACACTGGTTTCCTTTTTCCCTTATTTATATAACTAAAAAATATAACTTTATATTTATATATAATATTCTTACACCTACACTATGTGTAACAGATGAAACGTGTTTACAAGTGTTTCCATCTAAAAATCTACGTATATAGTACACAGGTGACATACATAATAATGACATACAGATGACAGTATATAAATACCTGTATACTACGTATATAGTATACAGGTATTTATATACATTCTCTTTTGTATCACCATCAAACTGAACAAGGCCTTAAGTGGCAGTGGCATTTCGTTTTGAGAAATAATTTTATGTAATTTATCAATGAACTAAAACTCTATGATTGTTTCTTTCCACACTTTTATAAAATTTTACAGATTTTTCATTTGCTCATTTAATTGAAGATCTTTTCTTGCCTGCTTGTATGAGAAAATCTCCAAACTTTTTATAAGACAAAATGTCAAAAATTAGGAATGCTGGAGCTCTATGGAAAACTGACAGGGACGCTTGAACAAAAATTAGCAAAAACATAATAGATATAACAATAAATAACATAAAATAAAGGTTTCAGATTTCAAATTACGTCCAAATCGGCCTTTTTTTAACCTTTTTGTGTTACCTTTATTTATTAAATCATATTCTTCGCACTTAAACCATAAAATTCAGTTCAAGAGCAATATCGCAAATTAATTTTAAATTGAGCATATCTTTAGAATTTCCGATACACAGTCTCTCGCGCTGGAGGTAAAAAGGTTTTCTCGTACAGTGCTGCCCTTACTCGCTCTAAAATCGTTCAGTTTCTTAATCAAAAATTCATTAAAGTGTTACAAAATATGAAATTGATAATAAAACAAAGTCCAAATTTGGGCTTCCAGATGTTAATATTCGGGGGAGGATTACATTTTTCAAAATTGAAGTCTCTTTGTTTTATCACACTGAGAGAAACAGACATGCATTTATGCACATTCTTCATTATTTAATTTCTTTAAATCTAACACGAGGCGATATTATTTGGCGGCCAACAGTTTGAAAAGTGATATCGACATTTACAGTGAATTGACGCAAAATGCCAAAACGAAATCAATAGTCCTTTTGAGCTAACGCTCCTTTGAAATAATTCTAAGAAGAATCTACTTTAACTCATCCTTAATTCACGCATTTATACTTGCAATGTCAAAGACGGTACCTGATCTGAAGATTATTGTCTTCTACATCAGAAATTATTAGCTAGCATTACGTAGTTTGAAAATGTATTATGTTTTTATCTTTATAGTTAATGCATATGCCCATAAAAGATTATCATTTAAAAACAATTTTGTTCCTCAGAGAAAGACAAAAAGCTAAACTGCTGTTGTACAGGTCTTTTAAAAGCACCTCTGTTTCATTATCAGTCATGCTTGAAGTTTATAGAAGATGTACTCTACTTAATTTTAAGATTTAATACAATATCATGTGCAACTTAGAATGAAACCCAGAAATAAGCCAACCTCAACTAAATGTACAGTACAATATAAATCTCAAAGTAGTAAAATCTTCTTTGTCTTACCTAAAAAAATAAAAATTATTCAATGATAAATAACAAAAACTCTGTTCTACCTATATGTGACAAAATGACCTCATGGGGATATGCGAATTTCGTCTAGTCTGGTACATTGTGGGAGGAAGGATGGGGAAGGGTTTGATTTATTTATTCATGGGAAAGCACGCAACGGTTATCTACGTAAGGAAAGGGTTGCCCACGTAAAGGGCTCTTCAAGGGAAACTGGCTTATTCCCGCGTTATACCTGAGAGAATCCACGAAAAGGCGCGTACAGCTAGCCCATTCGCCTGGAATGGAACTCACGTCAAAGTACCATTGTCAGTGGCTTTACCACTCAGTGGGCAAGGAGAGGAAGGGAAAGGTTCCTTAATGAGAGAACTGATGCTGTGAATGGAAAGTAAGTACAGTCTTTGTGCCTGCCTGGTTTCTGTTTAGTTTATTTGATTACGGCAAAGCACACTAGAGGTTACCTGCCTAAGAGTAGAAATGCCTTCGCGGAGGACTTTCTAAGGAAAACGAGCTCGTACACACGTTACACATGGCGAAAACCACAAAAACGCCTATCCAGCCAGCCCATTTGAATGGAATCGAAGCTAGATAAGAACTACCAGTGTTCAGCGACTTTAGCGCTCATCCGCTGGTGGACCTTCAGTCTTTGGGCAAAAGAAATACGACACGGCAGTGGGCACTCTGTTTTGCTTCATATTTCTCATTCTAAATAAAATATATCATTCATTTCAAAGATGTATATTTAAAATAAGAAATCTGTTCCATGATTTGCTTAAAAATATAAATTTTTAATTCACAGTTTTCAATTTATAGGCACGTGACAGAAAATACTCATGCAGGCTGCCCATTTCACCAGAGATAGGGAATACAATGCAGTTATCGATATTCCATATTGTAGTCATACAGCCATTAGTTAGCAGAAACTATAGAAAAAAATATATTTAAAAACAAACTAAAAACGAGACCTCATAGTTAATATTAGAAATTTTATGAATATTCACAGTTATTCATGCTCATTAATTGGTTATATCATTTTTACTTGCATATATAGTCTAAGAAAACGTAGGTCGACAGCGCTGCTTAAATTGCATTAAGCAGAATATCAGGTTAAATAGTCTGTATTTAACTTGCTATTTTGTTTGATCTTATTTGCTTTAGTCACTTTTTGTATCCTCCATATACAATTTATGGAATTGGTTCTCTTGAGAGAAAGTTTTTTTTATAAGCATAAAAGAACGGATTACTCAAATTCCAAATAAGAGATTTTAAGAAATAAAATATTAAGGTATCAGTCTGATGGGAATTGCAGATACAGAGTAATCCGCTTCACTAGCCAGTTGAGAATAAAATTTGAATTCGTGATCCTCTTACCGAGTAAGTAATCCGTACTCTTGGGATCGACTTTGTCGAATTCTCGTTTGTTGGCGACATATTTGTACTTAAGCCCTCTAGTCTTCTTGTCGTTTTGCCAAGCGTCAATAAGATTCTGTCCATCTTCTCTTCGACCCATATCAGTTGGGATTTGTATATCTTCCTCTTTCTTCGGCAGAAAATGACATCGTCCACCTCCTAGGATTACCTGAAGATTTGAAAATATCAATATTAGTTATAGTAGTTATGACAATAGTTTAGATTTCTTATTATATACAGTATTATTTACAGTTATATGTAAGGAAACGTAGAAAGAAGATAGTAAATAATTACTTTTTAGATGTTATTTAATATTTTTATATTTTTATTATTTTACTTCATTATGAAGCCTATACCATCTAATTTATTATGCTCATGTTCAGGTTGTTTCAGGAAGTCGACTTTTTAAACGTTAAAAAAGTCTTTATTCCAGCTTTGCATTGCAAATGGCTGTAGAACGATTCCGCCATTTGCAATAGTATCCGCGTTTCTGCTTATACTGAGCTTTCTCGATAAAATATATTGGAAAACATCTTGGAGATTTACAGCATTTATAAAGCACTGAGACGAAACCACTACAAAACATACAGGTCTAAATTTAAAAAAAAATTGACACAAAGTTTTTTTTTTCTTTTTCCCCCGCATAAGATATACTTTAATTCAAAATTTTTCCACTAGATGCCGTTGCAATATCAATACTGTGAATAAGTGATATATAAAATGAGATAGGCGACAGAGATCTTGTGATGTATAATATTATTGTAATAATTATAAACAACCTCGCAAATGTAAACGAAGGAACTATGTATAATCTTTCTTTTTCTCATTTTCTCTTTATTCTCTTATAGCAGGATGCTAACAGCATAATTCATCAGTAGAAATTTGAATTAATATATATCGTAATAAATATACATCGATAATATTAATATATATCGAATCAATATATATCTAAATAAATATATATCGATAATATTAATATATATCGGAATAAATGTATAGCGATAATATTAATATATATCGATATAGTATGCGATCTGAAATTTTTAGGCTCTTCCGACTTTAACAGGTCGACATTTTAAATCAAATATTCAGCGTCCTCCTATTTTTCTGCAGTGGTTTCTTTAGTTCATGATAATCTCATCTTCAGAATCGTTCCGAAATGAACTAGCCACCTCGCTCATTTTCAAGCAGCTTGCAGCCTCTGTTGTTTTTCGCTTTCCTCGTAGAAGTGATTCGTCGCTTTGTAACACGTGCTGGGCACCGCCGAATGGCTGTCGCATGTCGAACATTTCCGCATAGACTTCAAGGCAAAAACTTTACCAGTCACACACAGTATCATTTGTTTTTTGAATAACTATCTGAGTAGTCATTTAGACAGTATTATAATTCCAATAATATTCTACCTGAATTTCATAGAATTAAAAATTTAATGGGTTTTTAATCCACTTAATCATTTTCATTTAAGTATTCTTAATTATTTATGTTAATTTTTATCTTTAAAACAGCATTTTGTTGTAACTATTTAAAAAATAAATATTGAATTAGAAACGATAGATCGCATACTACATCATTATCAATATACCTTATGCCAAAAATAAAGCTTCGCCTTAATGATATGTTGTTAAGTGCAAACTGCATTCTGATCCGCTAATTTTCTGGCTTTATATGTATTTAAAAGTTTTTCTGACACGTCATAAAATCTTTCACAGCCGTTTTCTTTTTTTGACGTGGTTCTATTAGATATGACATATGTAATGCTTGTATCATGTAGAACTTATAATATTGATACAGCTACAAATAGACAGACAGTTCACTTTGAAAACAGAGGACTTAAATTTAAATATTTGTATACACACTAGAAAATTTTGAAATTGCTTTCTTTTCTTCACGGCTATCTTAGAAGCCCATTCTTGTTTACCTGCACATCATTTTAGTGCATCTTCGTCCTTGCCGTATTCTAAGACTTTAAAATCTAGTACATATAAAATTTGGGTTATATTTTGTTTCGACTTTAGATAAGAAATTCCAGTCTATAGTAAACTGCTTTTGAGACTCCAATTAAAAACAATTATAATTTTATAGTAAATGTTTCCATATGCAAGACTTTCTCAAGTTTTTAATTAATTAAAAATGGAAACCACTGAAGCGCTGTCTGCCTGGAAGAGATGCTTATATGATGGAAGTTTGGAGGAAAAATGACGAAAACGTTATATTCTAAGCTAGGAAGTCCTCGTACATTTCATTCAGCTGAGTCAGATCAATAGCGCAGGAAATGTAGCCAAGATCAAACACCAGAGATCAGCAATTTTAGCCACTTGGCTATTCGATAAGCCTCGAAAGTAAGCTTAAGCATTATGTTGTTAACTTATTTCAATTAATAGACGATACCTGATCAAAAATTTCCTGTTGGAATATCTCTTGCTGTTTTATTATTAGGCGTATTATACAGATTTGAACATATAAATAGTTTAAGTATCAGTTAAAAGTTACTGCTTATGCTCACTAATTTCTTAAAATAGCTTTCATTTCGAGCGTTTTCATATAAAATGAAATCTTACATATATTTAGCAAATTTTGAGTATCTATTTATGGTTAGTTTGCCCCTGTTTTATTTTCAGTACTTTTTAAAATAACTGACAAGCCTTGATTTTATAGTGATACGTTTCAAACATTCAATCCATATTTTGCTTCAAATGTGGTTTAATATGCTTGTAACTATGACAAAATCTTTTCACATTTAATTTATTTAAACATCTCTGATTACCTATCATAAAAGTGGATATAATAAGGTTGCGTATATGGCAAGCGCAGTGATTCTCAACCTTTTGACTAAGGCGTACCATCTAAAGAAAGATTGAATTTAGAAAGATTAGAAAAGAAAGATTAAAAAGAACTACATTTTAGAACGATTATACTATTTCAGTTTCTGAATAGAAATATTAAAAAATAAGCATTTGACATTTGCACAACCTATTGGCTATTTGTATTAAATATTCAAGCATAAAAAGTATTAGGTTCAAATTGGTTACAGTTTTAATTACCAAAAATTTAAATTATGATACTTTAATTCTAAAATTTAGTGCGAAATTTGGGCCTGTTTTAGATGGAACAGTTTTTTTATGTTTGGTCTAATTTCACATAGTTTTAAGCATAAATTAGGATCCACTTAAAATTTCGCTTTGTATTTATTTTTCAAATTTAACATGGAAGTAAATCCTTATTCACACAAATAGGCTGTGCAAAAAGGCAATAAAAGTTTAATAGCTTTATTTGAAATACCTTTAAACTCTTTTTCTCTTTTCAGCGAAAAATTAACAAGTGTATCATTTTTTAAATATTCAGATAGAGTTGCCTCAGTTATCTATTACTATTACTATCAAATTAGAATAGCACTTGTTCTCCTTACTTGTATAGTGCTAATAGGGTACATCACAGCTTTCACATGTGATTAGTTTATTTCCTTTTTTAGCAACTATTAAATTAATTATCCTGGTTATGTAAAATATTTCCAAAGAGACAAAACAGATTCCGCCATCAATTTTATAGCTCTTGAAAGTTCTGTAATTAGTTGGATTGCACAATGACGGTCATGAGACAAGTGTCTATCCGGAATAATCCTCCTGAATAAGCTGTCCGAAAATTATTGAACACTGAAAAGTCACTGGTTCTGTTTTGTTCTTGAATCTATGCGGATTATTTTGAAGCTATTATTTTCGGACTTATTGCTTGATTTATTTCTTGACGGCAGCACATGGCGAATGCACAAAATGGCAGGGAGAATTCTTAACAGAAAAGCAACATCTTTAATGAATGAAGACACTTGCCTCAAAATGAAGTTAATCGAAGACCCTTCTTTTGTACTTTCTGAGCTCGCTGTTCTATTGATTACACCAGCAAGACTAGGCAAACAACAATATCATCAGCTTATACCTCGTTACATGATGTATCATGTAGTGAGGTATAAGAGCTTGAAGATTTTTATTACACACACACACTGAAGACATAGCGAGAAGAATCGTAGCTGGGAGAATGAGAACAAAGCCTCATTCCCCTTGCAGCACGTGGTCGGAAAAAAATTCGGGAAAAAACGCTTCAGTGAGAATTTATGCATTCGCGCTGAGCGAGCTCTGTGAACGTTATTTAATAGCAGTTCCATGTATCAGTATCAGTAGCGGGCGCAGCTCGACCCGCCTAACCAAACAAGTTGGTCTTTGAAATGAAAAAATGAAACATAAAATATCTAAATAAGAATAATCATGTGTAAATAATAATTATAAGCATAAAAGTGAAGAAAAGGACAAATACAAACATTTAGACAAGAGCAGACACTAAAGACAAAAACAAAAAAGCGAATAACAAACACAACAATGGTAACAAACAAATTATTAAATATACCATTGTAGTGATGCAATAAAATGCAAATATCATACACTGATTCCCACTGTCCGGCGCTCACCGTCAATAAATTTCATCACAGATTTATGTAATTCTGCGAAATCTTTATAACATAAAAAGGGATTTTCAAAATCAATATTTTTATTGTTTCTTAAGCCATCAAAGTAGGGATAGACCTAAAGGAAATGCTTTGCATCACCAAACAGATCACATAGTTTACATTTATCGTCGTTCTGTATCTTAAACCTAGCGAAGTATCCCGGGAAATGCCCATGTCCGGTCAGAAACTGGTTATCTTGAAAATCATTAAAGATATTTTTTTTTCCTAATCAGTTCTAAATGTTTCAAATAACGACTTTTCCTTTTAGAAGAATTCCATTGTAACTGCCATTGCTTAAAATAAAACGAATAAATAACTTTAGTTGCTATTTTTTTTAACCCTGAACATAAGGCGTCCCCGAAACACTCCCAATGGCAGCCTCTTTTGCGAGCACATCCGCTGTCTCATTACCGTATATTCCGATATGGGCTTTAACCCAACCAAACTTTATATTAAAGGATAAATATAGTTTTTGGAAAAGATCTTTAATATCGATAATCAGACCATTATTATTTTCTGTATTATAAAGTGCATTTAAACAAGACATGCAATCTGTAAAAATATAGAAGTTAGAATTTCTTGCAAAATTACTTTTCAATATCCATTTAAGGGCATAGAGGACAGCGATGAGCTCGGCTTGATAAACAGAGCTATATTCTTCAAGGCCCAATTTATAGTGATAGATCTCAGTA